ATATTATCCCATTTGTTTTTGTTAACATGACAAGGCCCAAACGAAACTAAACAGGCTTTTGTAGATCAGAAACAAAGGAGCTGGGAGCAAAATTGGGGAGTCTGTGCAATGTCACCCATAAGCCATAAAGACAACACTAGGGCCCAAATAATTCTTTCCTTAGCAGTAGGACAGGTGGACAGGCCTGTGCTAGGTGAGAAAAAAAACATAGCTTGTCAGCTGTACCACCTTGGGTGCTCAGCTGTAGGTATAATGAGCCATCCTGAGGGAGTTCAGGCTTTAGAGTACCTTTAGAAATTCAGTTACTAGGCCATGGAAGACTCAAGGACAAAGGGAGATTGGACCATTTCCCCTGGGAGCTATGGGGCTTGCAGATGGATAGTGACTAAGGAGAAAGCTAGTGAGAGAAAAGGAGGTGACTCTAGGTCTGTTAAGATATCTAAGACTCATTTACATGCTTAAGTTGTTTACTAATTCTTTTATCTTCCCCTAGGTAAAGTAGGGATATTGCCTTTGTGTTTATATACCCATATCTATGTGCATGTGTTTATATCTATCTATCCATATGTATATGTATAGGTATACACATATTCATTACACACACACACACACACACACACACACACACACACACACACATATATATACATACATATCCATCCTTTAGATTGCCACTTTGTAACTTCTTCAAGTCTGTTTGATTTTTAAAAAAATCTGAACTAGTCATTTAATCTTTATAGGGAATTCCCATTTTAGGAATCAATTATAGGATATCAACTCTTGTATAACTCCTGGTCCAGGGGTTCTTAACCTTTTTGTGTCACAGACCCTATTGCAGTCAGATGAAGCCTATGGTTATCCCTTTGTTTGTGGCATACCTTCAAAATAGAAGGAAATACCATATTTCAGTTAGAATATTTCAGTTAAAAATAGAGATGTCATTTTTTCCTGTCAAAATTTATGGACCTAATGAAATCCATCCGTGGACCCCTTAGGAGTGTGGGGACCCCAGGCTGAAAATCTCTCTTCTAGTCTTGGAGAATTTCTTATGACAGAGAGAGGTTAAGTGATTCGTCCATGGTCACAAAGCCAGTACATGACAAAAGTAGGGTTGCACCCAAGTGTTGCCACCTCTGCTGATTTCAAGACCAGTCCTCTATCATTTAGGTTATACTGCTTCTAGGGTCCTTAAATCTGTGATCCTATGTGATGAAATAGGACCTGGTTAGTCTGTGGGTGAGGGAGATACTTCCCTTGTCCTTGGATTCAGAAGCCTTATACATGTAACCTGAGCCCCAATACTCCACATTGAGACAGCCACAGTCTACTCATGTCTGTGAATATGCTTGTGTATTTGCCATGCCCCCTGTGTGTCCCTCATTGTAGTGGAGCTCACTTTCAGGTTCCTCAAAATAAATGGTAGATTCAGATTTCTCCTCCTTCCTTGCATACAGCATCTTAGAGCTACCTCTTTCCCTTCCCCCAACACGGATTGACTTGACTCAGGCTATGCCTAAGTTCGTGGCCTGGATTCACCAGGTCTTTGTCTCTACTGTTGGGAAGTTATAAAATATGGATCAATAATATCTCTTTTCAATCTGATTAAGAGCCCAAAGATGAAACTCATTGGAAAAGACCCTGATGTTGGGAAAGATTGAAGACAAAAGGAGAAGGGGGTGACAGAGAATGAGATGGATAAATATTGTCATAGAAAAAACAAACATGAATTTGGACAGACTTTGAGAGATAGTGGAGGATAGAAGGACCTGGTGTGCTATGGTCCATGGGGCCATGAAGAGTCAGACATGACTGAACAACTGAACAACAACAGCAACAAAATATTTCTAGAGGAAAGCGCTCAGCCTTAGTCATAATCTCTCAATCTCTCCCTCTAGTAACTTATCCCAAGAGCCTTCCTCTCAGCTGCACTATACCCCAAGGGGCACACACTCTCACACACAAATCAACAATACAACACATGAGCATATTTGTTTGGAGCAGGGGTGGGGAACCTGCGGCCTCCAGGTCCTCAAGCAGGGCCGTTTGAACTCCAAACTTCACAGAACAAATCCTCTTCTTAAAGGATAACTTTGGAGAAACTGGTCTCTTTAAAAGCAAGCGGTCAAAACAGAGATCAGACAGGCTCTTAACAAACAAGGCTTGGGAAATCAGCAAATTTCTCTTTGGGAGAAATAGGCAAGAGACTATTATATTATAGGCAAGTAGGGTGAGGGAGGGATGAGAATTCAGCTAGTCTGTATCGGTATCACACTTGTTCTCCAACTGGGCTGGTGCCTGTATCATCCTGCATCATTTACAGTTATGGCTCAGGCACGTAGGCATGGAAGAGGAACGACTGCTCCCCCACCCCCCACCACACGATGACTGTGATCCGGCCGTAGCTTTATGGTGCTTCCCAGACCTCGCGTCCACTTTCCAGGTTGTCACATTCCCCTTTCAGTGCTTCTTGGCTACTCCTGCCCCACCCCACCCCCAGCTCTTTTCCCATGAACGCCTCACATTGCTAATTACACCCAGGTGGATTCCACCCATACCCCTTGATTGTCTTTTCACCAAATGCTCTATTTCCGATGTGTGCTCCCCTTTACTTCCCTCTTTTCCCTTCCCCCACTTTCCAGTACTGGAACCACAATCATTCCTGCCTATGGTTTCCACCTGGTTTTGCTTCCTGCTGAGATTGGAGCCATGAGATAGAGAAATGAGAGAGAGTGTGGAAGAAACTGCTCCCTGGAGGAAGATGACTCTGTCATGATGGAAGAGGAAGATCTTCTCCACCAAGCAGCTGGAGATGGCTGAAGGAGGAATTCAAACAGAAACCTAATGAGTGACTGGAGCAATGGCTCCTGTGGATCTGGCACATAACAGAGCCGATGCTGAGACAATCTCTGCGGCTGACCTGCTAGACGGACTCCCTGAGGACTTTTTTTTTTTTTTAACAGAATCAGCCAAATTTATTAGACTCTCCAGTAAAAGGATGTTATTTGTCCCATGTTAAGGGGTAGAGATAGGGAATTATTCACTCCTGACTCCATAAAGATGAATTCCTGCTGCACAGTCCCCTTGTAGGAAGTTTTTGTCTTTCTTTGTGTCTCTTAGCACTGACTGACATAATTCATAAAAGATTAAATGGGCAATTTTGAGCATATAAAATTGAAAAGCTTCTGCTTGAGCAAAATAAATACAGTTAGAATCAGAAGGGAAGTAAGTAATTGGGAAATATCTTCTCAACAAACTTCTCAGATAAAGGTATAATATCCATAATACATAAAAAACTTATACAAATATATAAGACTAAGAGACATTCTCCCATAAATAAGTAGTCAAAGGATATGAACAGACAATTCCTTCAGTCAGTCAACAAGCATTTGTTAGGTGCTTACTATGTGTTAGGCACTGTGCTGTGTTCTGGGGATACAAATACAAAAGAAAAAAAAAAGAGATCTTGCCCTCAAGGAGCTTATATTCTGATGGGAAAGATAGGACATAAAAGGGGAAGGGGGTAGTAATAGTAGGGGGTGGTGGTGAAGTCCAAAAGAATCAGAAGAGTTAGAGAATAATGAAGCATGGTCAGCCTGAGCCCTTTATGTCTGAGGAAACTGAGGCCCAGGGAGGTTAGAGGTAAATGATTCCAAAATCCAGTGCACTTTCCACTGAATCATGAGACCTCCCTGGCCAAAGGGAATCTCCTTGGCGTTTTTTTTGTTTTCTATTCCCCATTTTTGGTATTAATAGTTCATTCGAATAGGTCAAGTTGAAGCAAATACAGCCAATAGTCTCTTAATTTCAGAGTTGATTTAGGGACTTGTAAGTCCTTGAACATTTAACAAAAGGAGGTTTACTTTGCACTAACACAGCAAAGATATGCAACAAAGCTACAGTGGCACTTAGCTTTAGCATTGGTAGATACAGCTTCCCTTGCCTTCTTGTGGAAACACTTTTCATCAGAAGGTCATCAGGGTATGGTGACTCACATGGTAACCATATGACTTGATGGGTCAGACCTATGAAGTCTGAGAGGCCTAGACTCCATGTGACGGGGACTTTTTGTGCCCTTAGACAATCAGAAACTTGGAAGCAGGAGCCAATCAGGCCCAAGGAACAGCTTTTTTTTTTTCTTTTTGTTAGGCAATGGGGTTAAGTGATTTGCCCAGGGTCACACAGATAGCAAGTGTTATGTGTCTGAAGCTGGATTTGAACCCAGGTCCTCCTGAATCCAGGGTCGGTGATCTATCCACTGTGCCATCTAAATGCCCCCTCAAGAAGCAGCTTTGTCCTTGGTCTATCCTAGCCTACACTGGTTGGGAGGAGTGACTCATCAGGAATGTCTCCAGCAACTATGCCTAAAGGGCTATAAAACAGTGCATATCCTTTGACCCAGCAATACCACTACTAGGTCTGTATCCCAAAGAGATTAATAAAAAGGAAAGGAAAAGGACCTATATGTACAAAAACATTTATAGCAGCTCTTTTTATGGAGGCAACAAACTGGAAATTAAGGGGATGCGCATCAATTGGGGAATAGCTGAACAAGGTGTGGTATATGATTGTGATGGAATACTATTGTGCTATAAGAAATGATGAGCAGCATGCTCTCAGAAAAGTTGGAAAGACTTACACGAACTGATGCTAAGTGAAGTAAGCGGAACCAGGAAAAATGTATTCCCCGTATGATCAAGTTTGAATGACTTCACTATTCTCAGCAATATAATAATTCAAGATGATTCTGAAGGACTTATGATGAAAAATGCTCTCTACCTCCAGAGAAGGAACTGATGGAGACTGAGTGCAGATTGAAGCATACTCTTTTTTACTTCCTTTATTTCTCTTTTTTTTTTTGTCTGTGATTTTTTTTCACAACAGGACTAATGTGGAAATATGTTTTACATGACTATATATGTATAACCTATATCAAATTGCTTGCCTTTTGAAAGGGAAAGAAGGAGGGAGAAAATTTGGAACTCAAAACTTGAAAAAATGAATGATAAAAATTGTTTTTTTATATGTAATTGGAAAAAATTTAAAAAACATTTTTAAAAAGGGAATGCCTCCAGGGATTTGTCTAACAGCTTTGTCTTCTTTTTGGTAGAGCCTCTTCAAATTGTGGGTGGGAAGAAAGACGATGCATCAGGGAATTCATCAGGGCCGCTCCTAATCACAGTCATCTTCTCATCTTTGGTTCGTTTTCATGTTTTAAATAAAGGTTGTGATTACCTAAACACAAGGAATAGTAGGACAATCATCATTAACTTGGCCGTTTGATTCAGTTTCTGGTTTATCTGGCATATCCATCAGAGCAGAATCTGTGTATAGGCTGATGGTTTATTCTTTTATATTTACTGTACCTTTCTTGGTGGCATTTGTATTTTCTTCCTTTTAACATAGCCAGGCCTAATCTCCAAAGAGATCCTGGGGTCACCCAAAGGACACTGCAAAGATAAATGGTGGGTCAAGCTGTCAATAACCATATTAAAAAAACCTTTCCAAATTACTAAAGAGAAATGCAAATTAAAACAAATCTGAGGTTATATTCTTGTAGAACATAGCTTAGCTGAAGAATTTGTATTTTGGAATATCCTTCCATTAGATATTCTGCCTTCCTGTGTCTAGTAAGGTGTCACCTAAGTATAGAAGCCATCTTGACCTAAATGATCTGTGGGTAAGCATTTGCAACTCCTACTTAAAAAAAAAAATCCTTTCTTCCAAAAATACAAGATGTCCCAGATTTGGTGCTCAGGAAAATCTGGGCCCCAACAAGGATCCCAATGTTGACTGTACCCACATGTGCTGTTTCTTTCATCGTAGTTTATGGTACTGTAGAATTTTGAATTAACTTTCTAAAAGTTGTCTCCCAAACTGATCAGTATGTATAATAAAAGCTGTGAGTAAATCCTGCCTAGAAAAACAGATAAATGGTCTTTATTCCACAACACAAATCACATTCGTCAGATTGTCAAAGCTGACAAAAGAGGCTGGAGGGACAGTAGGAAGGTGAGCATACTAATACACTACTGGTATAGCTTCAAATTCTGTAAAACAATTTGAAAATATTATTCCCTTTGACCCAGTGATACTACTACTAGGCATGTGCCCTAAGCAAGTCAAGGACAGAGGAAAAAGACTCACGTACATAAGAATGTTAGTAGTAGTACTTTTTATTACAGCAAAGAACTGACACTAAAATGGTGCCCATTAACCGATGAATGACCAAACGAATTGTGGTGTGTGGTTCTTTTAGGTAAAGCCTCCCTATGTTGTGGATGGGAAGAGAGAAGCTGCATCAGGGAAATACTGGAATAGAATTTTATTGTATAAAAGAATATGAGAGATTCAGAAAAATGTCTATCAGTTTTTGAGATGAGGATAGTATTCTGCTGAGGAGAACTAGCAACTCCTCTCTAACCCTCACCCTTGGTTGGGTGGCATCACTATTTCCCAGCTCCTCTCTTCAGGTTTCTCAGTGGACGTGACTTTCAAAGCTTTTTCTTTGCTCCTTGAGCAGAATGGGACTCTTTAAAAAAATCTGCCTAAGGAAAGACAATTGGAAGGGAAGGTGCCTAAGGCCACCAACTCAGATATGGCTTATATCTTATAATACCTTATCATACCTCTTTTCCCTGGAAAATAGCTGGCTCATCCTATGTCTAGGACAGTCTGGATTCACTTAATCTTTTCTGCTTTGGGGAAGTTAGAATAATAGATACTAATAAAATCTCTTTTGTTCAGCTCTAGCCTCAAACTGGGAATCCCAGAAAGAGAATTTCTTTCTTTGTGGATATGGTTGACCATAGCCTCCACCCCTTTTACGTAAAGTCCTCATTTTGTATATGAAAATGAATGCTATAATAAGAAAACCATTTTCTTTTGAAAACACATAGCAAATACAGAAAGAGAGCAATTTTGAAGATTGTGGATACAGGATCAATGTGAGAGTGAGGGTGATGTAAAGGATGACAAGTGGGATGTAACCAGTTTTATTCTTGGCCATTGGGCCTGATAAAGTCATCTATTTAGCATGGCTTCTATAGAGTTCAGCTACAGTTCCCCCCCTTCCCCCCAGCATCTCATTCCCAGTGAGTGGCAGTGGCAGCAACAGCAGTGGTATTGGGTGGCCTCTCACTGCAGGGAAGAGCTGGAGTTCCCCTTTTCCTCTCACCCTTTGGTCTCTCTAGGTCCTTCTGTGGAAGAGTTAATGTTCTCTCATGTGGGCTTGTTTTGGTGAGATTTCACTTCTACTCTTCCTTTTATAACAGGCATTTTTAATCTTTTTTTTTTTTTGGTATCATATTCTGCTTTGGTAGTCTGGTGAAACCTATGGACCTTTGCCCTGAATAGTATTTTTAAACAATTGAAGGAAATGCTAAATTTCAATTAGAGACTACTGAAAATAAAGATGCAAATTTTTTTCTCCTCCCAGGTTTATAGACCCTGCAACTGCACCCCCCAAATCTACCTATGGACCTCTTCAAAGCTTATGCACCACCATAAAGAGTGGGGAACCTGTGGCCTTGAGGACACATGACCTTCTAAGAGGTCCTTTTGACTTAGTCCAAGTTTTACAGAACAAATGCTTTTATTGAGGGTATTTATTTGTTCTGTGAAGTTTGGATTCAGTTAAAGGGCTGCACTTTAGAACTTAGAGGGCCAAATGTGGCTGCAGGTTCCCTACCCCTGCTTTAGACTTTAGAAAGAGATAGATTATCCTTTCAGATACGGTCATAGCACATTCAGTCCTGGAATCAGAAAACATTGAAGGTTTGTGTCCTCTGCTACAGGCATCCATCTCAAGGGCATTTCAATTCCTTGGGTAAAGGGGTGTTACATTTAGATATATATAGAATATTGTGAGGAGAAACTAAGTTGAAAAGACCTCAGAACTTTGACCAAAGCATCAATCAATCATGACTTCAAAGGACTAGTATTGAAAAATACTTTCCACTCCTTGTCAGAGAGATACTGGACTATAGGGACAGAATCAGGTATGTATTTTCAGAAGTGGCCAACATGTTGATTTATTTCACTCAATTATACATATTTGTAACAAATGTAATATTTATATATACATTATATATAACTATATGTAACAGAAATTCATTTTCAAATATTCCTTCTCTTGTTCTTTGTATCTTGAAATGTCTGTTGATGACTGCCTCAGTTTCCTAAACTGTCAAGTGAGGATAATATAATAGCATTTACCTCCCAGGGTTGTTGTGAGGATTAAGTAAGATAATATTTGTAAAGTGCTTAGTACAGTACCCGGCAATCATAGACATTTCTCTGAATCTGTCATATTCCTAATTTCTTATATTACAATAAAATTATTACAATATTACTTATATTACAATTAAATTCCATTCCAGTGTTTCCCTGATGCAGCTTCTTTCTTCCCATTCACAACATGGGGAGCCTTTGCCTAAAAGAACCACACACCACAATTTGTTTGGTAATTCAGCAATTTTTTTTTGCCAGTTTGCTGCTACAATAAAAAGTACTATTAATGTTCACAATAAATTGTCTCCCCCCAAAAAAACCCCCAAAATAGAAAGATGGCAAAGGAATGGTGATTAAGAAAAATCTGGACATCTTGAGTAGTTTGAAATAGGAAGTGGATCAGAGCAGTAGAAAGAATAATTATACTGTGGGAACTGAAAGGGTCATCTAGCACCTGCAGGGATAGGGGTGATAATAACAATTCAGTTTTAAGATTTGCAAAATACTTTCCTCATAGCAACCCTCTGAGGTAGTGCCAAATATCGTTAGTCCCATTTTGCAAGGGAATTTATTGAGATTGAGCAACATGCTCAAGGTCACGAAATTAAGTGCTAGAGTCAGGCTTTGAATCCTAGTCTCCTGATTCCAAATCTAGCCCTCAGAATTTTTTAAAGTTAACATTGCTAGGGAAAGCCCTGATCTATTTTTTTTTTTTGGTAGGTGATTGGGGTTAAGTGACTCACCTAGGGTTACACAGCTAGTGAGTGTTATGTGTCTGAGGTTGGATTTGAACTTAGGTCCTCCTGAATCCAGGGCCAGTGCTCTATCCACTGTGCCCCCAAGCTGCCCCTCTGATGCATTTTTACACTCAAGACCCAGTTTCCATTTTCTATTTCTTTCCCTCCCAAGACCTTAATTTCCTTTCTGAAAGGTAAAGAAGGGACAAAGGAAGCAGCTACTTTCTCTGACAACTGCTTCTTCTGTTACAAGAGCATCGGATTAACTGAATTGGAAGAATTGGCTGGAATTAAGAAGTAGTTTTATTGATTTGCTAGAAATTGGCTCTAGATCAATCAGTAGGGATCAACACCCAATTTAGGAGGATAAGGCCAGAGTGTGCTTGTGACCTCCTGAGAGCTCCATGGGTAAAGCTGTCAGTATCAGGCCTGATGATTCCACCCAAGTCATTTTTGGCTTGAGCTGATTCTGTTGGCCCATCCAGCTTCTCCCTGTTTCTCGGAACCCTCACCTTATCTTGCCTGACTCCAGACACTTTCCTCCTGTTTCTTTCTAATGCCGATATTAAAGTAGTTATCTTGATCAGGGAAGCATGAAGGGATCTGACACTTTAATTATCATCTGTCTCCTTGAACAGCAAGACTAGAAGGAAAAACAAACCCTTTCTACCACTCACTATAGTTACCTGCTGAAGGGATTTTTTTTCATTTGTTTATTTCCCCAGATCCATTTTGGCTCCTGTTTCCCGATACCTGGCTGAGGCATATGGGGGATGAGGACATTAGACCAGAGATGTCTCATGGGAAGCCTGTGTGTAAGGTGCTAGAGAGAGACCTGGGATGAGCATCTACTGAATGGTTCCTGTGCTCCCTTCCTCTGTCAGTCACTATATGAAGTGATGGGATGCTACTGCACCTGTGATTTTATCAGTATAGGGAGTTGACAAAGAGGAAATTCCTTCTGCCAATGTAGATGGGCACCTTCTCTGCAACTGAGAGCCTCAGATAATTTCCTTGGGACACTAAGAAGACATATGAGTCACTTAGGGCCATACAGCCAGTATGTGTCAAAGATGGGATGCTTGGGAAACAAAGGGGAGGGGGAGGGAACAAGCATTCATTAAGCACTTACTATAGGCCAGGCCCTATGCTAAGCACTTTACAAATATTATCTCATTTGATTTTCCAACAGCCCTGGGAGGTAAATGCAATTACTATCTTCACTTGACAGTTGAGGAAACCAAGGCAGAGAGAGGTTAAGAGGCTTAGCCAGGGTCCCACAGCTAGTGTTTAAAGCCAGGTTTGAATTCAGGTCTTCTTGATTTCAGCCCAACATTCTATCCACTGTGCTGTCCAGCCGCCTCTCCTGGGAGGAGGATGATTTATTAACTTGAGGGAGCAGAAGATCGTTGGCCTGTACCACTAAGGAAGTAGATAAGTGGTGTGAGATGTTCTCATAGAGGGTTTGTGGCCTGTTGGAGACAATTCTGAGATGTTCTCTACAGCTGAGTTCTATGGACTGGGGAAAGCTAACTGAGGATTTATTGTTGCAGACAACTAAATCAATTAGGTGGTCTGGACAGGGACCCCCTTTTGTTCCTTTATAGGTGGCTGAGATAGAGTATTATTGGTACCATGCCCCACAGTGATGAATTCCCTTAACAGATGACTCCCAGCTGGGAATCTTCAAGGAAAAGGGAGGAAATTCTTAAAGAAAATGGGCTTAATAGGATCTATGTGTCTCATTGGGCCATCCTCCTCCTTCACTGCCATACACATCCTATACCCAGGATGTATCAGAGACAATTAGACTTCCCTTTCTTGGTGGGACCCTACCAGAAAGGCTTTGGACTTTAAGTATGGATCTACTCCACCACACAACCATACATGTGCTGGCTGATCAGTGGGTAAAATTTGAACAGGAAGTTGGTATTGGGCCTTGGGCAAATACTGTCAGTGCAACTAGCTGTTCTGAGTATAACCTGAAGCCCAAAGTCCATTGGTATGGACACTCTCCTCATTGGTGGAGATCATAGCCCTGTACCTATATGAGGGGTAGGGTGGAGTTGACATGAGTGGGAGAGAGGCGAACTTTTCAGTCTCAGCTAGTCTCTTCAGATTTCTTCTGTCTCTTCAGGTTTCTTCATTCTCTTTAGGCCCTGCAGTTGCTTCCAATGCTTTTGGTTTTTGGTTTCTAGAGAGAAGATAGATGATATCAACTCTACTTTAGGCTGCTCAAGCAAGAATAAGACCCTGGGAAGAAGATGACATGAGGAGAGCTGGCAGTCTTCATCATGTCCCTATCCTTGGCGTGCTACACTAGAGGCTTTGGGGAGCTTCCCCTTGGGTGAGATTTGGGACTTTTTCTCTTGGTTGAGATGAGTTACCTTGATCTGAAAGGGAGAATTCCTTCACTCTGTATTGTCTGGTATATATTCTCCTTTGTAGACTTTCTCTGATTTCTGTTTTGCTGTTGACTTAGATAGATGAGTTTCTTTGTTTCTGACTATGTGTGCTCATTTTGGAACTGGCATTTGTTGGAAGGGAACCAAGTTTTGAATATAAAGCTTGGGTTCTCCTTTCCCCACTAATGAATAATGATTGGAAGTTTAAATTGAATCCAAAAACTACATCCCCTAGACTATCAATATATAAGGGAGGAAATAGATATAATTTTAGCCAGGTACCCCACCTCTTTGAGGAAAGAAGAATGGCCAAGATTCTGCTCTCTACCTTCTGCTTCCCTTCCCGGCAGGAATTAAAGACTGTGATGAAGACTCCCTTGAAGAAGGGTTGGGGGAGGAGAAAAGACTAGAGATGTCCATTGTGTCACTCTTTGATCCATACAATAGCACCCCCACTCTACATGTGGAGGACAGCCTGACAATGAAGTGGTGGAATGTACCTCTTTGCTAGATGTTCAGAGACCAATGGCCCTGTCTTCAAGAGGGGGCTTTGGGTGTGGTTCTTGATATATGGGATTGATAAGAAACTGATTGGTGAATAGCCTATGGAATTGCTGATAAAAATGTACAGAGAAATTCAGCATGAGGTTACTAAGGGACCCTTCAACCTAACCTATGGCTAAGGCATCCTCTGAAGTCAATCTGGATCACAGAACCCTGACCACAGAGGGAAGAATTTTCTTGGGAGTCATTATCTATTTCAGTAAACTGTATGCATATTAGTGGAGTAGCACCAAATGGAAATCCTGAGTTACCCAAACTATTACATGCAGTTTACACCAAACAATGTCATGTCCTGGGAGGATGGAAAAGGGGGTGGGGGAGAAATTTCTTCTCTAGTGATAGAGATGAAGGAAGCTGGAATACTTTTTTATATCAGCTCCCTGTGGTGAATAAAGAGGTTCATGAGATATACTTTCTGGGTAATTTAGTCATTTTATTAATAAGGCCAGCAAATTATTAATAAAAGGATGGTCATATGGCTGTCTCTCTTGGACCAAAGACCCCTAATGGCAGTGGGCTTGCAGTTTATATGCCCTTCCAAGAGTAGGTATTCCTGAGGGGGTGCCAATCAACTCTGCTTAACATAATGGGAGGTGGGCTATAGTAAAATGAGGGTCTTGGGGTACAGGCCAAGTCACCCAAATCTTTGTCAAGAAACATCAATTTCTATATCACCTGTTTTAAATGAAAAGGAGAATCGACATTTTTCCAGACCTGTCTGAGCAAACAATGAGTCCAAACTTTGAACTTCTTTTACTGTTCGATTAGATCTTGGCCTGGGAAAATCTTTAAAAGAGATTTCCCACACTGGTTGGCTTCTGGATGAGGAAGTAGGAAAGGGGAAAAACCTTGGTCCTAATTCAATAATTAGTTACCAAACAAAAGAGGGAAATACTCATTTCTCACATCCCTTTACAACAACCACAACCACATTTTGCCAATGAAGAAGGCAGATGGCACCTGATAATTTATGGTATTCTATAGGAGCTGAACAAAGTTTTCTTATTCATCACTGTTGTTGTTCCTGCCCAGACCCAGGGTGAGAAGTATGGAGTCACTTCTCATGGGCCTCAGTTGCCTGAAAACTCTACTATGCACTTCCATCATTGGACCTCTAGTGGCTTGTTCTTTCAAACTTTCAAAGCTTACACTATTACAGCCTAGTTTGTTCTATCTCCAATAATCCATGTAAGGCAGGAAAGAATAGATGCAACAGGGAGATGAACAATCTCAGGCCTGTGTGAATAAAACTATATGTCCATCCAGGTGGGCAGAAGAGGGTGCTGGCACTAGTTCTTTCTCTCTCCCAGGAGGCCTTCTCACTCAAATGCAACCAAATAGGAAAAGGAGACAAAAACATGCTTTGGGTGATTGATACCTTTGAGTTCACACCCAATTCCAGCTCACCAGTCAATCAAAAGTACATTTCTTCACCATATGCTTGTTGAACCATAAACAGTCCTATAACACTTACTCTGAAATGGAGATCAGGGCCTCTCCATGCCATATCATCAGGCATTTTCCAAAGCAGGTTCACTTGAGAGCTCATGCTTCCAGGACTGAGTCCTCATTGGCCAGGACGGTGTTCCATATGTATACACAAGATACGTACAGTGTAATTGAGAGGCAATCCCAGGGGGCTGGGTATCTGGGAGAGGGAACCACATAAGGTAAGATTTGAGTTGAGTTTTGAGTTAGGGAAGCTAGGAATCATAGGTTAGGAGGGCACTCTAGGCATTGGTGGTGGGGTACCTAGATAATACTGTACTGAATGGGGAGATAGATTGTCAGTGTGAAAATTAGCAAATAGGCCAGTTTGCCTGGATCATAGAGTGTGTAGGGATGGGTGTGGGTGTGGGTGTGGGTGTGGGTGTTGACTGAGAGTGTAAAGTTTAAGAAGACTTGAAAGGTAGGAAGGGGTCAGGCTTTGAAGTGCTAAAAATGTCAACCAAAGGATTTTATATTCCTGGAAGGAGTACAGAGATATTGGTCTTTATTGAATAGAGGGAGTGACATGGTCAGACTTGCCTTTTAGGAAAATCTCTTTGGCAGCTGAGTGGACGAAGGATTGGAGTGGAGACAGATTAGAGTCAGACCAATTAGGCAAGAAGTCATGAAGGCCTGAATTAGGGTTGCGGTGTTGTGAAGATAGAAATGATAAGATTTGATAAATTGGATACGTGAGGTAAGTGAGAGTCAAGGATGGTATAAAGGTTTTGGCCTGGGTAACTTGGAGGATTGCGGTGTCCTTGATAGTAAGAGTAAAGTTGGGAAGAGGGGAGAGTTTGGAGGTGAAGACAGTGAATTTTGTTTTGAACACGTGGTGTTTGAGATGACCATTGGACATCCAATTTGAGCACAGTAGAGTTCAGAAGAGCAATTAGGACTAGTTGTATAAATCTAGGAACTATCTACATAGATAATACTTGAACCTATGGGAACTAAATGCAAATAAGATAGTATAGAGAGAAAAGAGAAGAGGACCTATGACAGTACCTTGGGGGACTTCCATGGTTAGGTGTTATGACCTGAATGATAATCTAGCAAAGGAGCCTGAGAAGGAGTGGTGAGTCACATGGGAGGAGAACCAGAAGAGAACAGTCTCACAAAAACCCAGAGAGAGGAATATACGGGAAGAGAGAGTGTGATTGACAGCATAAAAAAGGGCAGAGATATCAAAAAGGATGAGTACTAAGAAAGTCATGGTATAATCATAGGATCATAGATAGAGAGTTGAAAGGGACTTCAGAGGTCTGGTCCCCTTCATTTTTCAAATGGCTCCCTATTTACCTCCAAGATAAAATACGAACTTTCCCATCCCACAATTAAAGCTGTGGACAACTTGACTCTACCTTTCCAACATTTATTAAGTGTTCTTCACCTCCTCTTTGGTCCAGCCAAATTAGCCTTATTCTTCCCTCCATATGACTTACTTTCTTTTACACCAACTCTTAGAAGGCTTAGTTTTATTCAAAGTTTAGCTCAAGAGCCACTTGTTACATGATGTCTTTTCTGATTTTACTTTTCTGATATCATTTTTATTATATTACTAATATCAACTTTTATTATATTTATTTTACACATATTTATTTGTTATATACTTACATGCTTACAATGGACAGCTAGGTGACACAACAGATAGAGGCCCAGGCCTGGAGTCAGGAATACCTGAGTTCAGATCCAGCCTCAGACACTTACTGGCTGTGTGACCCTAGGCAAGTCACTTTACCCAGTTTGCCTCAGGTTCTTCATCTGTAAAACAAACTGGAGAAGGAAATGGCAAACTATTCCTGTATCTTTGCTGAGAAAATCCCAAATGGAGTCATGAAGAATTGGACACAATTGAAACAACTGAACATGGAAACATGCTGTTCTTATATCTGCTGAGAAAATTCAGAAGTCCTGAATGCAAGGAGCTGTCAGGTTAGTTATTCTATTGACTTTCTCTTAATTGAGATATAAATGTGATAATACAATGCTATTTTTACAGATGAAATGGCAAATGATAGCACTTTCATGATGATTTCTCCATATTTTACCCTAGCAATGTGTAGATTACCTCTCATTCCCTTCCAAACACAAGATTCTATTGCTCTGTAGTTCTCACATCTAGTGAAGTGATGGATAGTTGGGCTTAGAATCTGAAAGTCTTCAGTTCCCATCCCACCTCTATCTGAAAGCTAAAGCTGATTCAAGCTCTCCCTTGCAACCATTTTTCTACCACTCTTTCTTCTGTGTCTTTCACAGGCTCTATAGCATGGTATAAAGGGTCAGGAAGACCTTGGATCAGATCCTTCTTCAAATACTTTTGTTTATTTATTATACTTATTAGCTGTGTGATGCTGGGCCAGTTACTATACCTTTCTGAGTTGCAGTTTCCTCATCTGTTAAATGGGTATAACAATAACTCCCTTAGAGAATTGATGAGAGTTTCAAATGAGATGATGCCTGTGGTATAGTTCATAAACTTTAGAGTTCCATACTATTTTTTTAAACATTGAGGAGGACATGGAACATCTTCTCTTCGTCAGACTACTAATAACTCAAGCTTTATCCTAGGGAACTTACCTAGGAAGAGCAGCTTCAAAATGTTAAATCAGGAGTGGATTATGGAATTGATCATTCAATCAATAAGCATTTTTAAGTGTCTGCTATGTGGCAGGCATTATGCTAGATCCTAGGAATGCAAAGAAAAACTGAAATCCTGGAATTTAAGGAGCTTACCTTCTGGCCCAGTGATGGGATTATTTACTTTCCCTGGGGTACCACCATTCACCTATTTAAAACTGTGGTATTATCTTAGACTCTGTTGCAATAGCCTCCTAACAGGTCATCCTACCTTAACCCTCCCTTCTCTCACCCAACCCCAGCCATTCCACACTATTGTCTTTCCAGTTGTTGCTACGATTATCTTCCTTGTGCTTAAATGTGATCTGGTTGCTCCTTTTCTCAAAATCTTTCAATTACTTTCTATTGCCTTCCAAGTAAAATTAAATCTCCTTTGACTGACATTCAGATCTTCACAATCTGGCATCTCTTTTTCAAGCCTTATCTTGTATTACTCCTTAACTTGTTTTTTATACTCTAGTCAAATCAGACAATTCCCTGTCTTCTGAGCACACTCTAAAATTTGCCATTCCTCACGCTTTTTGTTAATGCTGTTTTCTGTGCCCAGAATACCTTTTTGCCCTTCTTTCCTTTTCACTTGTTGAAATGGTATTGATTTTTAAAAATTCAACTCAAATGATGTCTCTTCTAAGAAGTCTCTATTCCCACCAATTAGTAATGAAGTCTATTTAGTCATCACATAATTCCTTGGCCCTCTCCTGTGCACTTGTCCTATGTTATTTTGTAATATAATTTTTTTTTAATGTATGGACAGCAGTGATTTAGGTTTGGCTTCAGGATTGCAGAAGACTTACTTACCACTAGTCAATTATCTAGTAGGCCTAGGAAATTCCCATTGAAGGAAAAGAAAAGGAGTAAAAAAAAGACATGACCTGAGGGACTCTCTTCTATTCTGTCTGTCTACGGCAATAGGTCTGTTTCACAAAACTGTAGGTATGAGAGTGAATGTCGGGGAAGAGGGAAGCAAATTTTTCTTGTTATTTACCTTGCAGTTCTGTTTAATTAAATGCCTTAGCTCTGAGTTAATGTGTCCTCTTCTTTGGTCTGGTAAAAGGGAAGTCTCAGATGGGGCTCATGAGTTATAATTTTTTTTTAATAGATGATAACCCTGAGACTTTCTTCAACTTGGGTGTAGTTTTCAAGGATCCATATTGAGGGGATCCTGAGCAACATTTATATGAATCATATCACCTTATAGACTATAATCTATGTGAAGACAGGGACTATATGTGATATAAACCTTGTATCTTCCCCAACAAGGCAAAGTGAATCAAACTAAATTCTTCATGAGGTTTGCAGTCTGATGCTTTCCCAAACCCTTTTGGCTCTGCCTAAAAACTGGTCCCTAACTTTGACCTGTCAGGAACTAAAAGTAGAGAATATTCCCAATAGAGAGCCCGTGACTACTAGAACAGTCTATTCCCATTGATATTACACAGTCCTCATGCAGATGTAGTAATGCTACAAAAAGCTTTTTTGTTTCTTAACTAGATCCTCATGTACAAGTTCTTGTTTGAGGAAAATGTATTTGGTGGTGTGATACACTGAGAGGCTCAAGCAACACCCAGACCCACAGTTATAAATAAAAGAAGAAATGTATGTTTGGAGCATGGTTTTGCAGACAGTGATGTTTATGTCAAAAGGTGATGCCAATTAGGCTATTAGTTGATGAAATTATTACCACGCTCTCTCCCACTGAGATCACAGAAAGGTTCACCTTTACTCCTGCTTTGTTTCTAAAGTGACATTCCAAGAGAGTTGGCAATGTACTTTTAAAAAATTATCTCTGTCTGTAAGCAAAAGAGGAAAAAAAAAAAAAGCACGTGGCCTGTGTTTCTGAGCAAAAGGTTGAGAACAGATTTCCTGAGCAGCAAGTCTTCCATTGACTTGCTGTGTGATCACATCATTCCTGACTTTGCTTGCTTGGTAAATGATGGCAATAACTTCTCAACTGGTATAATACTATTTTCATAAGAATGGTTGTGAATCTGAATTAATATTTTAAAAGGGCATGAAAATCTTTATAAGAAAAATGGTAGGCAATGGAAGGGGATGCTATTTAAATGTATAAACGTTTTTGACTGTGCTTATTGAAAGATTAGTTTGGAACCATGAAGGCTTTGTGGAAATAAAATGTTTTAGTCAAATTCTTGTCCAGTGCATTTTTCTCAGCTAAACTGTAGCTCTTTAGAGAAGAAACTTGATAATAAATAAAAGCAATGAGTTTTTTTTTTCCCTTAATAGGAAGAGGTACCTCCCATGTTTCTAATGGGCTTACAACTGATTGAACCTAGTTTCTTGTAAAATATGTTGTTGTGCAGTATTTTAAAATATAAGATCTTCACTAAAACTCATTTATTGACTCACCAAACTCAAAGAGAATAGTTCTGTTTTTCAGGACACAAGGAGAAATGTCTGAACTATTCTGCCTGTCGTCAATTTTCTGTAGTTTGAAAAGACTAGAGACAGCTGGAATTGGCAGATTCCATTTCCTGAACTCCTCTGAAGACTAGGAATTAG